GAAGGTTTTTTGGGGGGGGGGAATGGAAAGCTATTTGAGTGCTCTTTCTCAGTGGAGGCGTAGAGAGAAGGGAGAAACATCAGTGCTTCTCATACCAATAAAACCAGGGTGAAGTTCCCTTTTCCCCAAGGCTTGGCCCACCCCATTCCTTCTCTACCAGGCAAAGCAGCAATAAGAAGAATTTGCAGACAGCAGCCCATTCCATCGCTAAAGGTCTGGTGGGTTTTCTGAGTGTATAAAATGTGAAAGACAGAGCAGGTAAGAAGCAGGAAACAGATCAACAGCTGCTCCCATGCAAAACTCTAAACTTTATTTCACTTTTTATTTATATATTTAACCATTCCAAAGTATTTACATCTTGCTTTCGACCAACAAAAAAAATGAAAAATATAAAGGAGCAACATCGCTCCTCTTTAGGAGAGAAGGGTTATATATACACAACTATGTGGAGATAGTTTCCTGCTTTACATGCAAAGAAAAAAATAATATTAATAAAAAAGTGCTTCATTGATCAAAAAAGACTAAGAGCGGCAAGCATTTATTCACACTGTACACATATCAGAACCTCTTGGCACCTGTCGTTAGGAACTGCAGAATATTAGACCTTGTTTTCACCATCTGTTCGTACCATAAAAACCACACTGGCAATGCAGGCAGCAAAAAAAACTATTTCCCCTCCAAAAGTCGTTCTCTCCCTACTCATCCCCGAATCCTTCAATGAGAAACTGAAGGCTCTTCACTTCCTGTTCCAGCTTCCTCTACAATACGTCAAACTGTAGCCTTCAGAGAAACACCATGCATCTTTGCTGCCCCTTCTTAGAGCATTTCATTTTCTATGAAAAAGCCAAATCAAAATTTGTTTTTTCTCTAGTGAAATGGAGAATACCAAGAAGCCACACCCTTTGGCCACCTTCTTCCACAAGCCTCTTGGAACCTGGACACTTGCTCTGTATTTTACTGTATTCTAAGCAACCCATGCATGGTTCATAAAGAATATGGAAAACTCCACCACAACGCATGACAGAAGGTGGCTCATATTACTCTATTGATCCATAGGGTGTTCCGAGGTTCTCAATGGGCTGCAAACTTCTCTAGAAAGTGTCCCCTTCATATGTGATGTGATTTACCCATGGGTAAATTACAAATTTGTAGTTTCATTTTTCTAAGGTGCACTTATCAGACTGTTGCTCTTTGGGGGAGCCTTTGCTGGCTGTCTCTTCCTCTGTGCAATGTCTAGTTATTCATGGGGATCTGACCAGCCATGAAGTGTTTTCCAGGACAGTGTTGTATGTTTTTAGCAGGCTCTCGCATGGAAGCTCTCCACCCAGGCAGGAGAAGAAGGTGGAAAGAAATGTCCTATATGCACTGGTGGCATGGAGAACTCATCCTGTGGGAGGCAGCTTCAAGCGGCTGCAGGCTGTCAAAAGGAACGGGTACACCAGTCCAGATTTTCAAGGATGAGTGTGCAGAAGAGAGGCTGGCATATATACCTGAGGGTACATTTAGGTGCATGGTGTTTTAGCTTAGCTGTAATAATAAATTGTAAATCAAGTATTGTAGATTTCCCCCTGCGGCCACAATATTTTAAAAGGACTGGGGAGAAATATTTTTAAAATCCAAAATATGAGGACTAAGTTGCACCTTCACAGAGCAACATTTAAAAGTGATTTTAATATATAAACTTTTTAAAATTCTTGTTGGCCAAGTATATCTACACATTAAGAAATTTCTGTAATGGGGAAAGGGGGTGGGGAAGTTTCCATTTTAGAGCATCAACCTATTCCACCTTGACTGACCAGCTGACTCCCATTCTTTACATTAAAATTATTTTTTAAAAAACACAAAAAAGTTGTATATTTGGTTTGGGATCTCACATAAAGGAGACCCTTGCCAGTGACACATCACCACCTGAATCTGCACAAAAGGAAGACAATCTGTCTTCTGTGTAAACTCTTCCTACAAGTGGGACATTTCCAGAACTACCAGCATCTTTAGGCACCAGTTCCTTTATAACAAATGGGGTTTTCCAGATTCCTACACTTGGAGGTGCCGGCTTTTAAAGAAACCCAAAGCAGGTAGCTTGCCCAATGCCTGCCCTTCCCACCTCCCGCAAACAAGCAGACACTTTCTCCAGCCAAAGCAGTCCAGAGGTTTCCCACTCCAAGCCACAGGCTGGCCCGCGTTGGTCAACAACCGCCCAGTGGGGAGATCGGCAACCCATTTCCCCGCTCCTCCCACCCCTTCCCACACGTGCAGCAAGAAGAACTAAGCCCACTCTAAAAACAGAGAGGGAAAGAGTTCTTTTGAAAAGGCAGCTTCCACTTCTTCTAGCAGCAACAACCTCCCAGACAGCAGCCGGCTGTTGGGAAAGAACAGGAGTGACTGAAAGCACGAGCACAGACGCTACAGGGATTCACAAGGTCTCTGGAGCAAAGAGCCCTCCTCCGCTCAGCAAGGCAGAGTCATCCATCAGCAGCACAGGGATCAACAGCAGGGCCGCTGAAACGCCTGCAGGAAAAGAGATTCCAGCTCTGCTCCCTCTCTCAGTCTTCCAGCAGAATTCACACAAAATGTACATGAGGAGATTGAAACGAGAATGGGGAGAAGGGTTGGAAAGGAAATGTTTCCTCACTCCGCCAGTTCATGCCCAACATCCTGAAACTCTGAGCAGTAACCTGTACTTCCAGCTCCAAAGTGCATGATGGCATCTCCAGGCCCGTCCGTCCGTCCGTCTGCCAAAAAATGGGCCCTGTCTGCTCAAGAGATTGGAGGCAGCACCCTCTCTTCCCACCTTTCCTTCCAGGCTGGAGTTTCAGTTTGAAGTGGCCGCGATGGGTTTGTCCAGTTCAAGGTCAAGGCTGGAGTTACTGGGATGCAGGCTGCTGTAGCAGGATTTGCAGACTCGGCTGGGTTCGAAGAGCTGCTGGCTGGGGACCGGCACCTTCTGGTTACAGCAGCTGGAGCAAAACACATTTCCACAATTCCTTTGATCAGGAACAGGAAGAGAAGAAACGAAAATAAACATAGGATTCAAGCATGCAAATGTCTGCAACAACACTACACGGAGTAATTCAGCGCTTGCAGGAATGGGCAACCTTTGGATGAGCTGCCAACAGACCAAGTCTGAATGGTGGATGTGAAGGTCTTTCCTTCAGACAACCTGCATCAAGCCAAAGAGTCATGGGACAGCAATGTTAACATTAAGTCAGTCCAAAACAGTCATAGTGTCCTGGAGAGATTAAAACAAACGGGCTACATTCTTTAAATCCCCATGAACCGTAGACCTCTTTTGTGCCACGTGCCGGTGCAACAGCCTCCAGTTCATCCGAGCTACTGCTTCAAAACAGTTCAAGGCTAAGAAGTAGACTAGAATAAAGTCCTTGAAACCTGCCTAACCAACTCCTTCTTCTTCCCCATCCCAGTGAAATTTTCAAGGGCCAGAATGTACTGACTTCTGCTCGCTGGAACTGCTGTGGCACCATCATCTTTCAGCACAGGGAAATGGTGAGTCAGCAGGAACCATGCAAAGCCACAAAGGAAACAGCCAGAGAAGATGCAGCCCACATGCTGTGAGCGAGGCAGCAGCTGGCACGGGTTTGTGAGGTGTCAGTCAACAGGGGCGTACTAAGCACATGCACCCTGAGGCAGGAGATAGGGTGTGTGTGTGTGTGTGTGTGTGTTTAAAACTTCAGAATCTATGTGTGTGTGTGTGTGTGTGTGTGTGCGTGCGTGCGCGCACACGCGAGTGAGTGAGCAGAAATCACAATCCCAGACTTTTGTCCTCACACCTGTTTAAGTGGGCATGGTCCCCGATTCTTAACTTCGGAATCTAAGCAGCCATGAGGCACCTTGTCCAGGTTTAACGTAGCGGCTCATTTGTGATCCCACCTGGCATGTGAGGAAGATGCAAGGCTGGGTAGATATCCCAGGGAACATCCGTTTTAAAGCTTGACCTAAAACTTCACGGCTTTCCTTACTGTTCATTATCAATACAGTTACGCTGTAAACGTGAATTTTTCATCTCATTGCTGGTCTTTCCTGTTTGGCCAAGCAGCCTCTAGATATCAAGTTTTAATGTCTGACCATGTCTGACCAAGTCACTTTACAGTACTTGGCCAGAAGGATCTGAAAATCCTGCTATGAACTTCAAACAAAACTGCTATTAGGGAAAGAAAGCAGGAAGGAATATTACCCCTCATACTCTTTTCTCAGAAGCTGTTCGAAACAGCCTGCAGAGGAGTGTATGTAGACCACGGGCTTTTTATGCAAATTTTGTGCCTTTTATCAAAACCTGTTTTCTCTTTTCTCCCTTCCTAGGGGTGCTCTGCTTAAGAACTCATCCCCTACCACCACAATCCCTGCAGTGAAATGACCAAAGCAGGGTTATGAAACACAGGATAATAATGGCTTGCTATCTTGAGTGAAAACACACTCCCCTCAGGTAAACACTGACAGGTAACTCAGTGATGCAGTAATAGAACATGGAAGCAGAAGAGTGGATTCTAAATTTAATGTGAGGAGAGACATCCAGAGGTGTCACCACCTTGCAATCTTGTTCTCATTCACCTTCAGCATAGCAACGTCTAGGTAAAAAAGAGACTGAGAAGAAAACGTTAGTTTGGGGAGGTTATCAGAAAATGCAGACGAACAACAGAAGCTCTTGCAAATGCTCACCAAATCTGATCAACACGTTCAGGGTCCCTGCAAGGAGGGGAGAAAAAGCTCAGAGGAGAGAGACTAAATCAGATTTAAGTTTTTAAAATGGCAAAACAGTACTCCTAGTTTTCTCTTCGAACTGGAAAGAGAATAATATACAGCTATCAGTTTAAAAAGGCTCAGCAATCTCCAGATTCTGTCATAAGAAAACTCCTAGGCAGCTAAAAGAAGCCAAGTCTCCCCAGATGACCACAAGCTGCAGAAACAGGGCGGCGACTCTCGTGAGGATGCAGTCTCCTACACATTATGATGAAACATGCAGATCTCCAGATGGTGCTGGACTACAACTCCCATCAGCAGCAGCCAGAACAGCAAATGATGAGGAATGATGGAAGATTAAAATCACCAACACCTAGATGGCTACACTGTCACACCCTCTCTCTACATTACAGGAAGGCAGTTTACAGTTGAAATTTGGGGGGAATAGAAAAACCATGGAAGCTATCTCAAGATTAAGAAAAGCATCCCAGAAATCAAAGGCAAGGAAACAGTATATTCCTATTAAATGGCATTGAGCCAAGACTGAAGGGGACCCGAGGCAGCTTCTTTGCTGAAGCTAAGCAGACCTGGCTCTTGCCAGTATCCAGAAGGGAAGAACGCCCAGGAAACCAAAGGGGGTAGAGCTCTTGATCCGTGAAGGAAGAGGGGGCAGAAATTCCTGGATAATATTAAGAGAGCAGATGTGGCACATTGCCCCAGGATGATTCTAACCTCAAAATCGACACCTGCTTCTCCACTGTAAGCCTTTCCACCCAAGAACAACATGATTCAGACTTAATGAACAGAGAAGACATGCAACAATAGCATTTGAAGTTTCCACAGCTTCCAGAACTTCTGTTCTCACAGGCATTAATGCTGAGTGCCAGAGGCTGGAAAACTAGCCTTCCTAGCAACATCTAGTCATCCGTACAAACAGCGAACACCCCTTAGGACTTCAGATTTGCCAGAGGGACTTCTGAGAACGACTGGTAACTGTTCTCCTAACTAGCTTTGCCAGTAGCAGTGAAGCTTTACCAAACAAAGAGGTGTCACAGAAACTAGTCCTGGATGGCCACAAAGAGAGGAGGAGGCTGAGAAATGCAGAAGCCTATTTTGGTGGAATTTGGTGGACGTGATCCCATGCAAGCCCGGTGCTTCTGTAGGGCTCCCGTTTATTTGAAGGAAGAATTAGAAAGGAAAAAGGTCTCAAAGGATATGCCCTAGGACAGCAATGGTGAACCTATGGCACACAGAGCCCTCTCTGCCGGCACGCAAGCCATAAGTCACCGGTTCGCTACTCCTTGTCTGCAGCCAAACCAGAGAAAGTGGCTGCAGAGGTAGTGCTGGCGCTCTGACAGGCGGCGGGCCAGAATCTGGAGCAGTGGCGCCGGAGGTGGATCCGGAGTGGGGTCTTCAGGCACCTCCGTGCCCAGGATTTCCCCTTCCGCTGCCACCGCCACTGCTCACTGGGTTTTTTTGGGTCCCCCCTCCCAGTTTGGGCACTCGGGCCAAAAAAGGTCTGCCGTCAATGCCCTGTGACAATATGGGTTGAGGCAGGATGGAAATTATCTGCCTCAGCAGTCTTAAAGAGGAAAGAAGCTCTTCCTTAATCATGTTATCTGTGCAAGAGGAACCAAGCTTTTGTGGCAACTAGGATTCATGCTCAATCTCCAATACGGGGTGTTAAAAGACTATCCTGTCACGAGCAAAAAGGCTACTCAAAGGGCATTTAAACCAACCCGCTGTGCAAGCTGATACCTAGCTTGAAATCATTCACACAACCATCACTCATGGACTGAAAAAAGCAGCAGGAACCTTTTGTTTCCCAAATAAGAATTGTCCAAAAGAGGTGTCGCAGTGGAGCAGCCTCACACTCTTAATGCTTAAATATAAATGTCCCATTATGTTTGAGAACACACAGTCTTATGTGTGCATGTACAAGCGCTACATCCTCAAAATGTGAGCCAGGAGTCTCTCTGGTGCAGATCCTGTCTCTGTCCTGAACTTACGAGGTGGCCCTTAGGCAAGCCCTGCTCAATTTCTACTTAAAATTCCTTAACTCTACTGGAAAGATTACTGGAAATAAACTACACAAAATATTTTGAACACTTGAAAGGACATGCTATAAAAGCAAGGTGGTTAGAGGGTGGTATTGTTTCATTTCATTCCTGAATAGCCAGGACTCGCATGGAGTCAGGCTAGCCTGTGTGATAACACTGCAAACATTTTCACAGCCTGTGAAGAACTAAGGAGCTCTATCATAGTCGGGGGGTGGGGGTGGGGAGTCCACAATGGATTCTGCATGAAGAACCATCTGGAGAAGGAGAGAGGAATCTGCTTTTAAAAAAAGAGGCTGCTCAGTTGCTCACTTGCTTCTGGTTTCATCAAATGACACCGTTACTCACAAGGAGCCCCCCCCCCAAAAAATGTATGTTTGCCTGCTTTGACTTGGGGAGTGGCTCTATCAGGGTGAAATGGTCGCTGAGGGCCAGAGGCTGAACAGGAGGTGTTCCCAGATAGGGTGACACGGCAGCACAGCTACCTAGTCCCTTCCACCCGATCCAGCTGTGGCACCCGTTACCTGCAGTGGTGCTTCCTGCTGACAAGCCAGAACACACTGTCGCAGCCGTAGCAATGGGCAGCCAGATGGTCCGGAAGCCATCGTGTCACCTAAGGACAAAGGAAGAGAAGAGGAGTCCTTTAAAATACAAGACCACGGCAGGGTTTGTAAAAACAAGATGAGAACAGCATCAAAGGAAGCAAAGAAATTTTTAAAAATAAATTAAAATTCTCCTTGTTTTACAGTGAAGAGTCTGCAATATGTTTGATTTTCCTTTCTTTTTCCCCTCCCAGATCTTCTTGCAGACTAATCTCAATACCGGAGGCTCAAAACCACAGAGGAAGTCCCCAACTCCTTTCTAGGCCCATATACCCAAACCTATCAATGCTGTATGTGTTAGTCCAGTAAATGTGTGACTCTGGAGACAGGCAGCGGGGCGGGGGCTCTTTGGCACAGCGACAGATGTTTAAAAGTATTAGAGGCAACAGGGACTGGGGGGGGCAAGTTGGGTTGGTAGGATTTACAGAGACCAGTGTTAGAGCCCGAGGGAGGTTAGAGCAGAGCTTTATCATTAGTATCATGTGCTGATGTAAGGAAAGGGAGAGGAAGGCCACGGCGATGCATTTTGCCTGTACCTCTGTGTCCTGTTTATCCACCTGCTCCCAGCTGGCTTCAGAGAAAATCTCTGTACTGCAGCGAGACAAACAGTTCTGATCCAGATTGCTTTCCGAGTCAGGTATTGAAGTCTGTTGGCAAACAAAGACAGCTTGAACACAGCCTACTTCCAACATGGGACATGGATTATTAGACAGCTGAGAACAGGGAATCTTATGTACCTCCTGCTTAGAGATAACAGATTCTAAGACGAGGCAAGGAGAGGTAAGTCTGATTCTATGACTGAAATCCTGCTGGCAGAGTTGCATGCTGCAAAGGATGGTGTCTTTAATTTAATCTAAAAGTTCTCATCCCCACCATCACAACTGTGTTGATCTAAGGAAGCCTTTCAGAGCCTTGGGATGGAAGTAGAGAGCCTTTAATACCTGTAAATCATTGCCACTGGGCCTGGGACTATCAATGGTGATTCTCAGATATTAAAGGCCACTCCATCCTGAGCCTCCCAAAGACTTCCCCAGGTCAAAAGGGATCCCTAGGGAGACTCAGAAAATGAAGGAAACAGGCAGTTTTTAATTTAAACTTTAACAGCGCCTGTTGATGACGTTTTCAGCATTTACAAGATGCAGTTCTTCCAAACAGGATTTCAGCCTATAATTTCCCACAAAGTCTGAAAAAGAGAAGTTCCACGTTCAACACTAAGCCAAGATGTGCAGAGGGATATATAGCAAATAGTGGCAATGCAGTTCTTCCAAACAGGATTTCAGCCTGTAATTTCCCACAAATTCTGAAAAAAGAGAAGTTCCACGTTCAACACTAAACCAAGATGTGCAGAGGGATATACAGCAAATAGTGGCGGTTTTCTTTAATGGAAATACTGTCAAGACATGAATGTTTCTGTAATGGTTCATGTGTTGAAGCTAAACAACTACCTGCTGATATATAACTTAACAGAGGAGGTACTTGAGAGATGTAACATGAGAGATGACAGAGCAAAGTATTCTACAATTGTATGTACGGGGACTGCAAAAAGTCTGGCAGTAATCTCTGGAACCCATACATAGATCTTCTTTTTTTTTCTAGTTTCGTTTGACAAACAGAACACTATGAAAGTGCCAAAGAGCCCCAACTAATAATTTTATTTCTATGTGAATGACTACATTATGGGACAGAGGAGGTTATGGCGATCAGGCACAGCACAAGGGAAGAGCAGGAACAAAATGTCCCTTTGCTATTTGTGGTAGACCAGCTTCGCCCCCTGGATGCGGAATCTGGATAAGGCTTTACATTAGGGGGCATAAGAGGAAGACGTGACCTTCCAGATTGTAGCAAGGCTTAACCTCCCATCAGCCCTAACCATTAGAAGCAATAGTGAAGGAACCATCAAGTGGCTGCCTCAAAATTTCAGACAGCCTGCATGTTCTCCAATCCGGCTTTAAATAATTTGGGGGAGTGGCAGAGGAGCGACGGTGGCAGCCCAGACCAGCAGGTGCCCCTTCTAAGTGAAAATGTGAAGGCATCCACGGACATGAGCATCTGGATGCCCTTGAAGGTTCTTTGAGCCGAATGTAAAGCCGGAATCCATGGGCCACATAGTTCACTTCTGCCAGCTTCCTCAGATACCCCTGCCCACCATTATCAACGGAGAGACACTTGCAGTCCTGAGAGCCCTTCATGCTGAAGCTACACCGCGGGAACGGTTCCACTGAACAGATATAGAGGAAACCATGTCTCTCGTTACCTGTAGCCACCCGATCTCGTTTGATTTCAAAAGTTGAGCAAAGTCAGGCCAGAGGATACCAGGGATTGCCTGGCAGGGCTGAGAAAGAATTTTTACTTGAAACTCTGGAAAACCCTTGGCCATCAGAGTTAACAATACAGTCCTGAGCTGAAAGAACTCAAGTTCTGATCAATATAAGGCAGCTTCCCATCTTCCTACATCTTACAGATCCTCGATGCAACTTCAAACTGAAATTTTCCTCTGTAATATGGGGCACATTTAGGTGTAGGCAAGATGTGTCAGTGTGTGACTGTTCAGAACATGCTCTTGAAAGCAAACTGGAAACTTCATTATTCTTGTTCCTGTCAAGCTGGCGTTTGCGATTATCTGTAAACTGGAAACTTCATTATTCTTGTTCCTGGCGTTTGTGATTATCTGCCTTGGCGCTATTTGCTAAAAACTCAATAACGAGCTTAGAAAGCTGGCTAACAACAAGGCCAGTGGAGGTGATGGCATTCCATTTGAACTATTTAAAATCTTAAAAGACGACACTGTTAAGGTGCTCCACTCACTATGCCATCAAGTTTGGAAACTCAGCAGTGGCCAGAGGATTGGAAAAGATCAGTCTACATACCAATCCCAAAGAAGGGCAGTGCCAAAGAATGCCCCAGCTAGCGTACAGTTGCAGTCATTTCGCACGCTAGCAAGGTTATGCCCAAAATCCTACAAGGAAGGCCCAAAATCCTACAAGTATGAGCTGACCAAATGCCATGTTGTCCTCACTGAGAGCAAAGAGAAACAGTTCAACCATTCTCTGAAACACAAACCAATACATTTCTCTGCGAAAACCAGAGACTTGGCAGGCAAACGTTTTGCAGATTCAGTGTTCAGAAAATGAAGGAGGCCATACAACGGTGTCCCAGGCCAGTTACAACTTTCAGTGATGTATCAGGCAAAATCCAAAGGAACAAACCAAAAAACAAAACAAAACAAGGCATTTGAATTTTGCCTGATATGTTTGGCATGGACTTAACAACGCAACCTCTTCTAAAACGACAACTTTCAATGATGCGCAGATCAGGTGGGCCAAGACCCTTCTCCCTTCTTGCACCCAAACTAGCTACCTCTGTCTGTTACAGGAACACTCCCTTTGGCTCCCTTCCACATCAGCTGAACCAACAAAAAGGGACACAGGAATATAAACACATTGATTTCCTTCCCAAAGTGCCCACTTCTTATCACACACAGGACCAAATTAAATAGCTAATACCTGAGGCAAGAGCCTTTCTCAAGGGTTATTGTACAGCTACCAAGGAAGGAAACTGAAGTCATAGGCAAAGTCTTCAAAGTACCAAAGTCAAAGGAGAAAAATCTCTCTTTTCCCCCTAGCCCCCCCCCCCCAATGTTAAGGATACACCAGCTATGCCAGGAGCTATGTCAATAGGGGACCAAAGGGTATTAACCTAACATCTATGGAAGATACACCACCAGCTATGTCAGGAGCTATGTCAACAGGGAACCAAAGGATATTAACCTAACATCTATGGAAGACATATCTTATCCGATTCCTGTCTAGTAGATCTACTGTCAGAATGCTTTCTCATTCAAAATACTCCACAAAGAATCAGGACCACGTGCCTGGCTGCCTGTTTGCATCACTTAACACCCCTCCACACATGGAGCTGCAACCAGCGTAAGTAGCAATTACAGCAGAACTGGGCAAAGCTCTGGCCCATGGACAGCCAGTTGCCGATTCCTGCTGGAGAATCTATGTGGATCTCACGTGTCACATGGCGCTTGACCCCTCCGGTTTCATGCTTTCTTTGTTCCAGAACAGGGACTCACAATATGATTTAAAATGGGTGTGAATAAAAGCACTACTATATTACAACATAGTTACACAAGTTACCCTTAGAAAGGCTTTGCAACTCTGATTGATTTAAGATCATTGATATTAAAAACACATGTCCACACACATACTACACACACTGCCTTTCCTCCCAAAGCATTCATAGCCTTGTAAATGGCTATTCATCATCTTGCTGCCTGGGATGAAAGATTCTCCACTAGAAGGCCACAGCTGGGTCTTTTTAAACCCACCCACCGCCATCATGCTGCAAAGAACGAGGATATAAATATCCATGCAAGAGGTTGAATGTTCTCTGTGGGCTTCCTTGTCAAGCGGGCAGGGAGGATACACCTTCTTTGCCATGCAGACACACTGTTAATGCTCCTTTACTTACCACTTCATCTCCATAATCCCCATTGAAATGAAGCGAGCTGTTCAGGAACTGGCTCTCCAACCGGCTCCTCAACTCCTGCACCTGCTTCTTTAAGGTCTCCACTTCCTGCTGGTGCCCAGTTTCAATCTGGCGGAGGCGCTGCTGAATGACATCAGCATAAATTGGCATGCCGTCGTCATCCAGGTGACTTCGGGCCGGCTGGTCTGGGCTGTTTGCTGCCGGCTGCCGGCCTGGAATGGTGTGTACCCACTTGTGGTGCAAGTTCCTTAGATGCAAAGGGGCAGAGCCACAGCTGGCTGCGGAGACCTGGCGGCTAAGGGGGGGCTTGGCCTTCCCGCCCTCTCCATTCAGACAATGTCCATTAGGAGCAGGGTGTTTCTGCGCAACGCTGAACCCAACCGGGCTCTCTGTCACCTTGTTCTCTAGCTCCAGCTCTCCGTTATACACCGTCTCTTTATAGTCGGCTAAAGGCAAGGGGCAAGGTGAAGGAGGCAGGGGATCACGTACGTTGCTGCTCCTGTTTAGGTTCACAGCCAATCTGTGCAGCTCTAACGAGTCGTCCCTTTCAGGCCTGTTTTCAGGGTGGGAAAGGTCCTCAGTGCTGTTGTTCACGGGATGAAACCAGGAGCAAGAGTCATTCTGGACCACCTCTGCCTTTGCGCCATGCTCTGTCAAAGTTTCAGTAGAGCTTTCCAGGTTGGACGTTCCTGCCTCTGGCAGGGCGGGCAGTGGCAGAGTGGCCTGGGAGGTACTGCAGGTGCTCTCACCTTGTACATAAAGTCTACGAACACCGCCCTCCTCCCCTCTTTCGAGGTTACTATTTACTGTATTGTCTACAACACTAGACTGCCATTCTAGCACCTGAGATAGCTTCTCAACAGCACAAGGGAGAGCCATTTGCTCAGCCCGCTGTCCTTGAAGCTCAGAAGCACCCTGTGAAACCGTCTGCTGGTTGGAAGCGGGATTGTCTAATAAGGTATCTGTGTCCACCTCCGTCTCTTCATAGACTTTATCAGCAAAGCTGTCCAGGTTTTCAGTCCTGCTTTCCTTATCGGGGGCAACGTCCTCTTCCCCTTCTTTACCCACGGTTTCCTGAGTAGACCTTGAGCTTTCCTCCAGGGCCCCTTCCTCCTTGGTAGCTTCTTGCAGGATGTTTTCCATCTGCCCGTCTGCCACGGCTACAGAAAGCTCTGCTCCCACCAGAGTCCTGCCTTGCTTTCCCAGACTTTCTCCATCAAAAGGATCGTCCCCTGGGTTCCCAAGGCTGCTGAGCTCCAGGGACCGACGGTGTTCCTGCCATTTCTCATTGAGGCTAGGGTCACTGCTACGCCGGTTGGTTGTCGGCACGCTGCTGTCACAGGCTGTGGTTAGATTGTCAAATGACCTTGTCTTTGGTAGCCTAGAGAAGAAACGTTAAGAACATCGTTTCAGCTATTAGTTACACTTCCCCTCTATCATAACCACCAATTACTATTGAATACAATCATTAATTACTGACTGGAATGCGTATCCAAGTTTTTTTTGGTTTTATATCATGTGGACAATAACAAAGAACACCCTTTCCCCAATGCCAAGCATCTACTTAATTAGGGTGCGGTCACGCTATGAAAATGAATCTGGATCTGGTGAAGGAATTTTTAAAACTGGTTTAAAGACACATGGTAGTCACGTGGCTTTTGGGTTGATGTTTTGAGTCCTCTTGGGTAAACCTTTAATCTGTTTTTTTAAACTATGTTGTATATTGACTGAAGGGGCTACACAGGCTTTTAGAACAGTTGCATGTGAAGCTTCGTCCTGTGCCCCCCCCCCCCAGGCTTGTGCTGGTTGCCTTTCACAGCCACTCACTGCTGTTGTGGTGGTGTTATATTTAATATATGTTTATTTCTCTTTTACACACACACAAGGCAGAGAAGGAGATGCAGGGACAGAACTGCAGCAGAGGCTGGTGGGAGGGAAGGCACACTAGAGAGTGGCAAAAAGCCGCCCCGTGTAGACATGGTCTAGAGGGGCCGGGTATAAATTTAATAAATGAAGGAAGGAAGGAAAGAAATATAGAAAGAAAGAAAGAAAGAAAGAAAGAAAGAAAGAAAGAAAGAAAGAAAGAAAGAAAGAAAGAAAGAAAGAAAGAAAGAAAGAAAATCACCAGTGAAATTGACAAGACTGGCAGCTTCTAGGCTGGCAAAAGAGGGAACACATTCCCTCCACCCAAAACTTCTCTCTCTCTCTCTCTCTCTCTTTCTCTCTCTCCTGGTTCTCTTTTCTGAATTTTTTTAAACCTAAGCTCTACTTAGCTCTGCTCCTTTCCTTCTGATTGCCATGATCCTGACATCCATTCCGTGACAAACCCCACAGACACAATTTACACCAACAGAGGAATTGGCATATGCCAAACCAATTCAAAATATAATGATTTCACAAGCAATTTAAAATAAACAGCTCTCTAGCAGCCAAGTAAAATAACCTTCGTTTCCAACCAAAAAATTCCCCCACACTTCCCTGTGTGTTGTGCAGCTGGAATTTTAAAAATCTCTTTAAAAATTTCAAACACGCTAAACCCAATTCAAAAACAGTTTCCTCCTAGTGTTTACATTACTTCTGAACTCACCTGCCCAGAGGCTGATCTTCAGTGGTGGAACCTGGGGCTGGGTATGGGGCACAGGTGTCGTCCGCAGGGGTAGAGGGAGAAGAACATGGCAAGTAAACGGCACTCCAGAGCATTAGGTTTCGCACATGACACACGGGATACAGCACCTAAGGGGTGGGAAAATGAAGTCAAGACCTGTATCAGAATTGTACCATGATGTGGAATCCTCTTGCCTCTGCAATTTGACACGTTCAACAATGTTTGTTTGGACACATACTGAAAACACACCTATTTTCGCACGCCTCCTCGTGTCAGGCACTTGACCTTCTATTTCATGGACAACATGGCATATTTTGATTTTGTGCACTATGTATATTGTATACTATATTATCACTGCCCACCACTTTGTTTATGTTTGTAAACAAGCCATTTTAGTCTGCAGGTGTAAACTAATCTCAGGTATATTAATGATTAATCACTCAACCCAACCCACACAAAAGAAATCTCTTTCTCCTTGCCAGCCCAGTGATCCCTGCAAATCGACACAACGCTCCTCCCACTTCACAAGTCATGCTCTCCACTACACTTCACGAGTGAAGAAAAGAGGACAAACCCTCTTAAAATGAGGACTGGCTCACACAAGGATTAGGAAAGCAAGTAAACCCCTAATTCAGAATCGAGAGCAATTTAAGATGGACACCACCAGAAAGACAATTTAGTTTAAATCCCAAATGGTTTCATTCTATTTATCACACTGATACCTTCTCTTTCTGTCCCCAAAGAACACAAACTGACTGGTTAAGCTGGAGATTCCAGGGAATTTTAGGGGAGATCTCTCTTGCCCCTGCTCTTCCATGCCCAGAGAGGAAAATAGGTTTTCTCAGAAGATTTTTTTCTCTGCCTCTGCCTCTGTTTCTTCACTTTCTCTTTCCATTTTCTCTGTATTCTCCACTGCCTCCCATGGTTCAATACATCCACCACACATTCTCTCCCCTCCCCGCCCCACTTCATGTTGCGCTTTTCCAAGAGCCTCTTCCTTTGGCTCCCTGTGGCATCAGACAGGGGCAAGACCCGATAGATACTATAATCCCCACCCACTTCCCAGTCACTACTGGAAGGGCACAGGCTAGTAAGTAAGGTGATCCCCAGCCTCCAAAAGGTTTGAACAGAACGGCTTTGTAACTGCTGCTTTCAACTTACAAGGTCCAAGCGGTTTCCCCTATAAAAATGCCTTATTGTGATATAAAAGAATAGAAGAGTACATACGGATTCTGACTGGGAGGAGTAAAGGAGGTTTTTGAAGGCTTTGTTTCCTGCTCGCAGCAGAGACCAAACTGAGCAGGTCCTTTCTTGCGTATGTTTTTCACCTCGCTCCTTCGCATTATTGCACAGGAATGTACCAAAGAGGCAAGAGTAGGTGTGCTGCACCAACTTGACCTGCACCAAAAGGATACAGCTTAAATTATTGTTTGCTCATAAACCAGAATATTAGGGCATAAAGACCCCTGGACAGAAAATGGCTTCACCCACATTTTTGAAACTAACAAGGCTTCCTACAGAAGTTGTGTTTTTTTCCCCCCCTTTCAGCACATCTGCCAGGAGAACAGCTACTCAAGAAGAGTCGTTGGCACACTCAAAAGAGGGCTGCTGATTTTCTCCCCACAACAATCATGTACGCAGGGCCATACAGAGAAACCCTATGCACATGGATCTAGCAGGCAAGGGGGTACGCAACCATGCAACAGGAGCAGGTTGAAGAACTAACACTTACGGCTGAATCACACTTATGGATTCATAAGCTAAGCTTTTCCCAAAGTGCTGAGGGTGCTGTGGGAAGAAAAAAAAAGATACTTTGCCGGTTTACATGAGTGAACTGCTCCAAGTAGGACCAACTAGATGGCCTTTTCCTTTTAAGAACATAACAAGAGCCCTACTGCACCAGACCAAAAGCTTACCTAGTTCAACATTCTGTACATATATTGGCCAGCCAGCTGCCTAAAGGAAGCCTGCCGGCAGGGTATTAAAAACAACTGCATCCTCTGTCTTGCGCTACTGCACCAGACCAAAAGCTTACCTAGTCCAACATTCTGTACATGTCTTGCACTCTAGGAACTGATAAACAGAGGCATAGTATCTTTGAGATGACAGGTAATACATAATGATTTTTTAAGAGAAACCGAGTTCTTCCAAACTTTCAGAGAGAAGATGATCTATGTTTCAGTTTAGGGGATAGGCAGAAACGAGATGCAGGTCAACAAAATTTAGGAATGGTTGGTCCTTTAAAGATACAAGTAGCCTTTTGGATTCTTTTTCTCCAACTTCGGAAAGCATAAAGATGCTTTCTAGCTCCAATGCATAAAACAATAAATTTATCAGATTTTTCCAACTGGATCCCCCCCATTTATTAGAGGGACTGTTCAAAGAAAATGCCAGGAACTAGTACTAAACACCAATGAGGAAGCTACAGCATTGGTTTGAAACACACCTTCCTGGGAATAAACCCCACTGAACTAAAGGGCACTTACATCTGAGCAGACTATAGCGTTAAGGGACTTAAGCGCTCTAACAATGTTTCACAGATATGTAAAGGTACTGGACACTTCTAAAGGCAACGCATGGACTCTGGATGCAAGACCGTTACAGTCTTCGGTGTTGCCCGCTATAGGCTTATACAGTGTTATCAGGGTTCTGCTTTAAGAGATGCCATGCAGCCTGCATCTCATTCTTGAAGTCCCAGAGCCAAAGCCACCGAAAGCAAGGGGGTCACAAAAGCCACCATGGAGAACACCTTCAAGGCCTGCCCCAGTTGACTGGTGAGACTGGAGAGGATGAGAATGGAGATGTCCTTCTCCCTGACAGGATGGCAATACACACCTTCGGTTCTGAAAGAGTGAGCCAAGGCACTGCTTGACTGAGAGGGCTCAAATATTTGATTTCAGTACCACTGCTTCAGGCAGTATCCTTCAAAATGTAAGCAAGGATAGGGAACATACTGTATTAAAACCTTACAATTTGGTTTTAAGTATTCTGGAAGCCCAATAAGCGGATAGGAGAATCAAGCCGGGAGAGCACATAGGAAAAATATTCAACTTATGAGGTTTTATGGCCCACAACTCACCAGGAATGCTTCGTTGAACTCAAAAGAGCAGGGGAATTGTCTCTGGAGCTGATGGACACAGTCAAGCCACTGCAGAAACACTGGGCAGCGTTCGTTCAGGTCATCTGAATTCTCACCGTGGCCACAGCGATCAGCAAACTTGTGTCCAAAATCTAGCCACTCCATCTCCACTAGTACCTGGAAACCCTATAAAGAAGCACCATGGCATGAAATGTACAAGTTCAATTCTCTTTGGTTTTAAAGGCCCAGCCTGAGGCATTTGGGGGCATGAGGTTGAAGACCTAAAGAGCGCCCGACCCCCAGCAATCCACGTGGGAGGAAACAGAACAGTGCCTGGCAAGAGCTCTGCTTAAGAGCCTCGTGGCGCAGTGGTTAAACTGCTGTACTGCAGCCAAAACTGTGCTCACGACCTGGGGTGAAAACGGGACCCCCGGCCGGGGGGGGGGGGGGGGGCAATGTGTAGCCTGCACCATTAACTTGTAAACCACCCAGAGAGTGCTTGAAGCACTATGGGGTGGTATATAAGCAGCACGCTTTTATTTTTAACCGAACCAAACCAGAACTGCTCTCATCCATATCTGAAGGCCTGGGCAGAGAAACGACTGGCAGCTGGAATGCCTGGCTCCAGGCCTCTGCCTCCCATCTTGCCACCTTTACCACCCTTCCCAGGGTTCCCTTGCCTCAAGCAAACTGTCTCATTCTGGGACATAATTTCTCATATTCCATCCATGCACCCTAAACATTTTATTTTAGTTTCACCGTCACTTTTTTTAAAAATGGGTTCTATGCTTCACCCTTCAGGGAAGAAGCCACAGACCCGCTTTTCTGAAGATGAGCCAGTGCCATAAGCTTCTAATTCAAAGCCCTTCGATACAATTCAGAAGCACCCCAACGTCTGCTATTTACCATGCTTTAAGTCACAAACCTCTATTGTCCTGTAATAGGGATCCAGCAGCAGCTTAGCCAGGGCCACGATCTGAGGGGTTCGGTCCCATCCATCTGAGCAGTGCACCAACACAGGCCGCTGGTCTCTGTCCACCGCATGAACGACCAGCAGCGCCGACTTCAGGAGCACGGACAAGTGTTGCAGCCATTTGGTGCTTTCTAGAGCCGACAGCCAGCTGCAGATCAACCACAGAGAAGAGTCTGGTCTTTGTCAAAGCAACATTACAAGCTGAATAAATAAAATTCTCATTGCAGTAGCAATGGGGAAAAAACTCTTTTTTCCATCTGAGCTGAGAAGTAGCAGAGATTCCACCTCCCCCTCAAACCTATTTCCGGAATCCTGGGGTGGAGGGATTCCTTAATAAAGAGATCCATAGCTTCCCTGAAAGATAACTCACTAGACCCTACAGTCTCAAACTGGCAATACAGAGTATGCAGAATTGCTGGCTGTATTCAAAAAGCACACTAGTTTTCCATGGGGAACCAGCAAAACACAACTGGCTTGGTAAACAACACAAGTCTACAATCATTTGCGACCTGTCTTGTTCCCACGGAAGAAACGTGAATGTTTAGGAGCAGGCAAATCAAATGGAGGAAGGGCAGACTGAGCTGTGTCAAGCTGGAAAAGCACAGGCCTGGTGGGACAGAGAGCTTGATTTAGAATACAAAGACACAGCTGATTTGATACTAGTCATTCGGTCTCAGCGTCACAGAGTTGTTATGAACCAGAATGGATGAAGAAAAAAAAACACCCAACGTACACCGCCCGGAAAGGTGGAGATACAAGCAGAGAGACAGCGAACCGTTCTGACTCATGAAAGCTTTCTTGCTCATGCTCTTAATCTAGACAGCTTGACGGAGTGCCTTCCATAGGGGAATGCGGATCTGCAATACTGCACTGGTCGAAAAGATGACTCTACTGCTACTTTCTCTGTGTCACGGAGCCTGCTCAAATATGCTAGCCAGTAGGCTACATGCCAAAGCTGCAGAAGGCTAATGTAGAATGGCACTGAAGAATCTAGAAGACGGAATTAAAGAACTTTTGATCACAAGAGGGCCCTTGCAGAAGGGAAATCCACACTCAAGACTTCCACTGACTTTTATACTGAAATGCAGGATCCAAGCTTTGTCACTTGACACTTTTCCATGGGGATAAGTCAGATGCCCTTTTACACCTAAATCCCGAATACAGGAACTTATTCAAATGAAATCTTGAGAAGTGCAAACACCAACTCAGGATTAGTTGTTTGTTTTTGTTGTTTTACAAACAATACCAACAACTAGTAAGATGACCAGAAACAGGAATGGGTTAAGGGGGGAAGGACAGCAAGAACGCCATGTGCCGCTTACTTTCCTGGGTCCGGCATTTGCGTGCAGAGTAGACGCAGCGACTGAAAACTCTTCCGAATAGAATGGATGTTTGCCATTCCCATGAACACAACTTCACAGTTTGGATAATACTCTGTTAGAAAGCAGAAGCAGAAGAGAAGGCACTTCAAACAAGGGCAGAAACTAAATGAATGAAGAAGCTTTGCTGTAAAAACAAGCTGGCGGCAGCTGTGGCTGTGCTAAGCACCATTATCCCATCCGTCTCCTGGAGCATTTAGAGGTTCTCAGGCACTCCAAACATTATAACAAAGGGTGATTGTTATGACAGAAGAGAGAGAGTTATTCTAACACAGTCCAAAAGAAAACACATGGACTTATTTATCCACTAGACTGCTAACAGAACAATGGGTTCCATCTGCATAAGTGCTTTTAAATTGATTTATACATCGCCAGCAAATGTAACTCTGACCCCCACAGGAGTTGGAAAACAGACAAGAGAACTGGGGTGGGAGTTGTAAAATGAAAGTCGCGCAGAGTGTCAACACGTGAAAGGCCTTTTTGAACACTATTCCCACCTTTGCCTGTCCAGCAGGAATTCGTTGCACGTTTTCCAGCCACTCCACTCCTTTGTGCTGGGAACTGAAAACCAACCCATGCAGACACGCCAGTGCACTCACAGGCTGCTCTGCTGAAAGGGCTTTCCAAAATCCAAAAAAGGCTTTGAAAGTATAGGTCTAGTACTGTTTTGGTCTCGGCAGAAAAGTTCTACAGAACTTTTAGATATTCTGATGAAATTCGGACAATGCCCTGGTGGTGGGAGTTGTTTGCATTCTCCTATACTTCCACAGAAACCTGAACTTTTTAGATTGGCTGCGATTAAGAGGGCTTTAGCAATAAAATACACACAAAAGAGGCTGAGAGATCAGCATCTTGCTGAAACCACCATGCAGTTTCTCACAAATGTTTGGAGAGATGCAACTGCAAGAATATCGGACTCACATCGGCAGACTGGCAAACCTGTGAAAGCAAAGATATTTTGGCACCTGGAAGACTGTGGAGGTATTAGGGCAGAAATTCTGATGGGAGTACAGTTCTGTGGGTTCTTAAACTTGAACCTGTGCCAGTTTTTTAATTACACGTATAGATCTGAATTCAGTACTTAGGAACCCAAAAAGCACAACAGTCCATTAGTCTACTGAGGGGCAGTGGTTTCTCAAAGCTTCACAGGGGGGTGGGGATCTTTCCCAATTCTGCCTACAACTTTCAATTTGCACAGGAGAAAACAGAATGTAAAAGTTCTCCAAAGGAGGTTTGTTGCAAACAGCAAAGAGGGAGGACGAAACCTGTGACCCCTAAAGATGGCTTTGGCTTCCATTGTTCAAAATAATGGTTTAATGTTACATCTAATTTTGGCCATGAATCTCACTACTTTTCTTTCGTAAAAGAAAAAAAAAATGTGTGGCTGGATGGTTGGTTTGGCCATCCCGATATATTGCTGCTTATAAAGATATTTTTAGGGTCTGAAACTTGTTTTCAGGCCAATAATTGGCTCTTTTTCATCTAAGCCAAGAGTGGACAACTTTTGGTAGGAGGATGGGCATGGGGCAAATATCTGCTCCTTTGTTCCCCTCACCCACACCAATATGGACTGTTAAAAGCAGTCAAAATTTCGACGGAAAAGCAAAAGGGAACATAACCAGACTTCTGCACCTGATTTTGGTTTTGGGGTGACTTTACGAGGCTTCCATGACTCCCTCCCCTTTCTGCACAAACACTGCTCCCCCCCTTTTTTTAAAGGAACCTATTCAGCCTGGGGAACTCTTTGTGGACACTGGGGCCTCAAAACAGCCTCAGGCCACTCTGTGCTTACTCTTGTTCTAAACTTTTGAGAGACGTTAGTCTGTTACAAGAAAAAAAAACCCAAACTCTTAGGGCATGTGAAAGACTGGCAAGTTTGATTTGGCATGAACTTCCTCCACTTGCAGCCCCACTTCATCAACCTCTCCCTTTGGTATTTCTACATTGTAAGATACCCCCTCCTTCTTTCAGTAATGGCCGCAACCCTAATAGCCCTGATATGAAAAGGACAATCTAGTTTACGCAAGATGTTCTCTTCCTGTCCTAGAAGTGTTTATAAACACAGTAGGGCAAAGAAGAAAGAAGGCTACGGTAACTTACCTGGGCATTCGCAACCTCCCCCTTTGGCCCTGTTTGCAACAGCAGCTGCGTAAGAACGTGCGTCTAAGATCAACAGCTTTTGGGGCTGAATGGCTAAACTTTCTGCTCCCGAAGCGTTGGAGATAGAGGAATCTAGGAACGAAGAGAGGACAGACAACTGTATGTGCAGTAGCTATTCAAAAAGCATACTTGTTTTACACAATGGCCAGTATCCTCTTGTGCAGCCCCAACAGCACTGTAGGGATCACATCACTACCACCAGCAGACTGCCACTACTGAAAGAGTCGCTTTTTCAATTTTAGTTTGCCTGCAACTTCCGTGCAAGAAGACCAAGCTGCCCATACCCCCTGCATTTCAAATTTAGGAGTTCAAAAAAGGGACACTTATATTAGAAGCCATCTGCAGCTGCCAGTGATGTCATTCAGAGTGGTTGACCAGACCAGATGGGTGGGATATAAATCAAATAAATAAATCAAATAAATAAATAAATTCCTGCTGTGCCAATAAAGCTTTGTAAGAGGATCCTGGCCCACATCTAGTTGGAGATACTCTCATTGTTATAGCTGAAGGAGCCTAACCAAAGCAAACTACTGCTTGAATCGTCTTTCTGCAGTGATTATTCTGGATTGCTACTGTGAAATGGTTTGGAAGAGTTTAGGCATGGATTTTTTTTTTCATGTTTGCTTCATAGCTGCAATGCATCTCTTAAATCACCATTACAAAAGGTGAACAACCTTAACAGAAGTATATAAAGCATAACCAGAGTAAATATATTCTACATCTGGAGTTTAGATCTGCACACATGTGAACTGGTTGGAAGCCAGACAGATTTAAGCAGCGCAAGACTGAAACCACTGTCATTACTGCACATGCATCAAACAGAAAACAAGAATGATTAGAAGTGAAAGGCTAAAACACCTCTGCTAAATATCAGTGGAATTTGAATTCCACAGAGAATTAGACATTCAACATTTTACAAGCGGAGGGCTACTAAGCTTACCAAATTCCACATCTGAGAAATCCCCACCATTGGAGAAATCTCGCGAGCAGTTTCCATTCATCAGTTTACTGCTGTTAGACTTAGAATCTGAGGCGCAGGCTTTTGCCACAGATTGGACAAGATGTTCGTCATCAGCATTCCTCCAACCCCACCAGCTCACCTCAGGCTGCCCACAACGAGAAATTACTGCCCCATTGCTCTGGTGCCTAAACAAGAAATAGAAAACTGGGGGTTATTACTGTAGCAAAAGCATTTTGCTCAGCAGAAATTGCCGCCTCAATGAAAATTTCCAAAAGCGGCTAAACTTTTTCTAATACTTGTATGTTCTGAAAAACTAAACTAGCATGTAAAGAGATTCATGCAGGACTGATGAAGAAGCAATTAACAAAATAACCAAACAAATGGATCTGTGACCCCTTCAGCCAAGTCAGGATTTGAAACAGCTTTTGCTGAGACATGTAAAAATGACTATAATACAGAGATGTCTAGAACTGGAAGGCTGCAGTTTATTCCTAAAGAGAGATCAGTGATCAACAGCTGATGCTAATGCTGATCAGCAGCTTTACCATTTGGAAGTGCTTTTCGTGCAGAAAAGAGGCAACTGGGGAAATGCATTTATAGTTTTATGTAACCTGTGTGAACCCAAAGCCAGTTCATTTGACAAATGAGACAAGAGAGAGAGAGATTGCACCAGTGTAAAGATACTTGGCATACTCTGCAGGAGTGTTATTTCCATTGTGAAGCAAGTAATTTGCAGTGGTTACACCTCAGCGTCTGCAAAATGAAACCTGCATTTAATAACAAATCTTTGAGTCACAGTTCATCTTCCCTAAACTGGGAGTTGGCAGCAGAGTCAATCAAGGAAAAAACAATAACACTTCGAAAGGGGAAATGTTCCTTTTCACATTAAGCAGAAACTAGTTGTTTGATGACATGTGCTGTCACCTAGTTCACCAAGAAAGCTGCAGGCCTATGAGCTAACATTTTCAATTACAGAAATTGTTTCATCTTCGCATTTGTAACATCTAGCATGAAGACTATTTCATTGTCATCAATTTTGTATCTACCCTCAAAAGTAGATACAAACCTCAAACAGCAATTATTGGGGTCTCTGAATGCTTTGCATATGTCTTTTGTGTTAAAGTTGTCAAAAAAGAGCAAGAGAACAATGTCAAAGCCCTCTTATAATTATCAAGCATGGAAAAAGGATGACAAAATGTATCTAGAAAGAATTAGGAAAAGACTGTGTGGTCTTTAAGATTGCACAAATGTAAGAGTAGGGCGATTCCTTTTTGTTAGACCACTGAGAAAAAAAAATCAAACAAATTTTGCCAGTTACATCAGGCTGACCACCGCCATTCATGGATAGTGCAGAAAAACAGTAGATAATTATCTGCCATGATCCCAAAGCCAAGCTCCTCATTGCAGCTACTCTTGTCCCATTGTCTCTCTCCCTTGCTCTGAGTCAGAGCGCCCAGACAGAGCAGGAAAGACTAATGCTATGAACTCAGGCTGGGATCCTTCCAACCTCAAAATGCCTTCCGCCTGCATGGGCTGTGTGATCCAAGGATTTAACACAAAGAACTTCCAACAGGCTGACTTTAATATTACAAATGCAGTAGCTTAACCGAGGCAAGGACTGGAAAATTAGTACTGCACTTCCACTCTCCATCACTGTGCAGACACAGATTTGTAAAGTTTATTTTAAAAAATTAAATAAAGGAAAAGTAAGAAAATAGAAGGATGAAGTGGTGGTGCCCAGCCTAAATATATCTAGAGTATCATTTTAAAAAATATATAACAGGCTCTATGTATATATACTTAGTTCACATGGGTGACCCAGTTGAAAATTACAGGATAGGTATGCCAGTTCACATCTGGTCTTTCCAGAAAAAAAAAAATCAAAGTTCTGCATATCCAAAGTTACATCAGATTTCACACACATCGCATGAAAAAAAAGTTGCTGATCTTGCAGTGGTTCCATGCCATCAAGTTGCCTCCGACTTACGTCAACCCTGTGAATGACAGACCTCCAAAATGTCGTCCTCAACCTCCCCGCTCACCCCACGGCTCTGCAGCAATCACTGCTGAGGCTCCTCTGGCTACGAAGTGCTGCCCAGCTTGACTTACAGAGGAACACCTAGGGCTAGTGCTGTGTTGCTCACAAGAAGACAAACACAGGTTTATTTGTGCCATATTTGAGAGAGAGGCCACTGCTCCCTTGGGCCCACTAGACTGCATTAACATGTGGCATGATGATTAAGCATTTATTGATGCTATTTTTTCCCTATTTTTTGCACTAACAATAATACTTAAGGCAGCGATCAAATGCCGTCAAATACATCAAGACCAGAGAATCGTTAGAGTGAGTGATATCTTTATTAGACTGCTAAAACTCAACAAGGAGACGTTAGCGTTCAGCTCTGCAGGGGTCTTCATCGAGCGAAGCATTACAGATGTGGGGGTGACGTAGAAGAAACATTCAAGTTCCAAAGTCCATGGAAAGATGTGTGGGCCGGGTTTCCTTGTTTAAAGCAAGTTCCAAAGGGGGGGGGGCGGCGCTGCAAAATGACTCGAGGTGGCGGGTTTCATATTTTACTTTGGGCTAGAATCTGAAACCAACCACATCTGAGCTCAATGTGCTGCCCAAATTTTAAACATTTTGAACACACAACCGATCATAGGTTTTGGAACTTTCTGCAGCACTCACAGCTCTGCAAAGCCCATCCTAATGAGGATTTCCATGGAGTCAGCAGGTAGCTTCCGCCTGTGATATTTTAGTGATCAAATAAAAGAATCAACCACTCTTGTGTGCAGGTTGTATCCAAGGACCACACAACAATTTTAAATATTTTTAGCGAATAATTAAAACCACCACAATAAACAGAAGTTTAAAATCACAACATTATATCTTTACACTATTCCTAAAGGCAAGAAGGAGTAAGACTCTGAGGGGAATTTCCTCTACAATCTGGGAATGTCATAGGCGCCACCAGGAGTCTATCTATCTATTCTATATTGTTATCAGACTCGTCCTACCTATAAACCACAGCAGGGATGCGTTTCCAAGAGCGGAAGCTTGCCACACTCTCCAGTTCCTTATCCGTGATCCAAGCAGGAACTATGAGTTCTTGAGGGTAGCTACTGCATAACCTGTGACAAACAGGGAAAAGAGAACAGAGATTCCAGAGTTAAATAATGTGTGTGGCTAATGCCACTTTAAAAGTCCACTACCTCTGTCCTGCTCCACTAGGCTCTATCAGCAATTCACTGTGTATACAAACAGTAGCCTCACTCTTATACTCTTATGTTTTGAGGAAGTAGGTTGGTTGGTTTGTTCGTGTATATAAGACATTTAAAATTCCACAATGGCAACAGGTCAAAACCGCAATACAAATACTATGTTTAAAAACAATTAAACATTAATCAAGATAAAAACCAAGACTGAACACTTTAAAACATTTTTAAACACATTTTAAAATATCTAAATTTCATAAATACAGCACTCCTTAGAATCCCCACTTATGGCTTAAAAACCTGCCTGAAAATGAAGCTCATGGTGAAATAAATCCATCAAAAGTGCCACAAGTATTCCTGTTTTTTTTATATAGATCCTGAGAAGACTAGCATGGTTACTTATTTGAGAACTTTTGCAATACAGTGGTAGAAATCCTATTCCACAGTAAGCCACACTAGAGTAGATCCGCTAAATCAGTGAGGATTTCGTGAGTAATTCCACAAATGTCATAGATTTGAATGGACCTACTCTAGTTATGGCTTACTTTAGCACAGCAAATCACAATTATAGTAAGTCCATTTGATTCAATGGAACCTACAGAGGAGTTGGTTCACCAAATTCCTATTGATTCAGTTGAGTCTATTCTTGTTGCAACAAACTATGCTAAAGCAACAGAACTTCAGCCAGTGTATCTCAATACTGTATACAAAAATAACTGAGTCTGTTACGACTTACTATATGTTGTACCATGTTCAGCCATTTTTAATTTGCTGTGCATGAGCCTTATATCATATTATTCCTTATTCATAAGTGATTTTTATACATTAGTCTACAAACAGTGTCTATTTGGTACTTTTGCCAAAGGAAGTGCACAGAACGGAGTCATGCCATCACATTAGTATCCCCAACTTGCCCTCCTCTATCCCACAGTCCTTTGCCAGCTCCAGCTCCTCAGTAATACTTCATAAACGTGTCCTTATCTAGGGAAGATAACACCCATTTCTAAATTACAGGCTAGCCCAACTCTCCTGCTATGCGTTACTGGATTTTTTTAGCTCTTCAAAGCCTGCACATAACTGGTAGAAAGATCACAAATGAGCCCATAACCTGTACTAAATATTTCTATAGCCTTTGAGGCTGGATAGTAGAAGGCAGCTGGAGTGGCTTCATCTTTGGGGGGTGCTGGGAGGGCTGCAGCTTAGAGGGAAAGAACCTATTTTGTATGCAGAACATCCCAAATTTAAATTCTACATGTCAAAGTAGAGCTGGAAAATTTCCTCCAGAAATCTTGGGGAGCTATTCCTCCAGACAGCATGACCAATACAGGGCCAGGTAGAGGAAGTGTTTGACTCAGTAAATCAGAGGTTCCTATGTTCTTAAATCAAAGGCAACATGATTGGAGAAGCATTTTACATCAGCGCTCCCAAACATATCAGTCTTGTCTGAAACCCTGAGAAGCTGCTGTCAGCCAACACTGACGATACTGAGCCTATAGTCAGAGGCAGTTAAGGAAACTCCCTGTGCTCCTCTGCTTCCACTGCTTTTCCTAGTTTATTCATGTTGGTAAAAAGGATGGCACAATGGCAACTGCATATGGCATTCTATTTCTCTTGCAGACACTTATCTTTTAAAAAAAAATTCCACCCTCTCAGACCCAAACAATTAACAGTGCCATTATTAGAAACAGGATTAGATGACAGCAAGGTCCATGGGCGATTACTCCAAAATGTAACAACAAGAAAAGCAAGCCCCTTGCTCAACAGCCTGCAGTTTGCAAGCATCTATAGAACTTACTTGTACTTTTCGTTGATGTTGGAGATCCTCCAGGCATTGTTCATATCAAAACCCATCCGTTCAACTTCATTTTTAAACCTAGAAGTCACATGCTCTCCTAGGTATCAGAGGGACAACAAGAATGAGACATTCAGGCTTCCCTACTTAGTATGTTTATTTTGTACAATGCACGTAAATCGCGGCAACTGAACAGGAAAAACAGTTGTAGATCTGCTTTAGTCATCCCAGACATGAACAACTGGATTTTACCATCTTTAGTCATAGCCCATGATTGTAAATGCGATTTTAATTGGCTCTCTACACAGTGGGATTAATAATCAACTGTTGCATGAATAGTATTAAGATTAACAATCCTCTCCGACTTGCACAGGAAATCACCCCACTGTGGTGTTAAAGGCAAATAAAACACAAGCATAATCATCTATGTGTATTAGAAAATCAATCTGCTCGTTCAGATTCAAACAGGACGTGAGCTTACATGGGCAAAATCCTTTCAATTACCAAACACAAATATGGTTCCTGCTGCAAGTAATCATTAATCACTATTCATAAACCTGAAATAGATACTTCCTGCTAAAGGAAAAATCACTTCAACTTCACAAAAGCACAGATCTTCCTACGATACCTTCAATGACTATTGCATTTCAAAGTTTCAAGAGTATTTTGCATTGCTTATACAAAAATATTCACAGTCAAGTAATACCCAAGAGGGAGAAAAGTTACAGATGGGGGCGGGGGGAATAAGGCAGTTGGCAGCAACAAGTATAGATAAAATGTTCTTTTATGATCCTTTGCTGCTTCTCTATGGAGACATTAGAGGGAAAAATCAGATATGAGACTATGCACTGTCAATACATGCCAGTGTGCATCATCCATAAATGATAGGGCCAAGGCAAAAAACACAAGAAGAGGGTTCTCCTGTGAAATTCACTCCCCCCCTCTTTTTTTTTCTTCTGTTCAGGGAGACTTGTAAAGAGGAAGCAAAAATATTCTCAAAGAATCAGAAAAACCTGATTGGCTAAGTAAGGCCATGACATTATCATGCTATTTATGGAATAACTAATTGACCTTATTCTGTTTTTTCTTCTCTTTAATGGCAATTAAGCTGAAGGCTGGGGGAAGAAACTATGAACAATGCCTATCAAAAGGTAAGCGGGTGGTTTTAGAAGCCTCATAATCAACAGAAACCACCCCTCTCTTGTGTGTTCATACCTGGTCTGCACAAATCACCATGCTGCTCCTTTTCACTGGCATAGACCTCCATACACCAGGCATGGTAAGCAAAGGAAAAGAGATCCTCTATCTTCGAAGGAGGGCGGATGGCATTGTTCAGACGCTTAAGCCATTCTTGACACTGCTCAAAGGTAGAGAACTGGCATCTGTTCAAAACAAAACAAAACGGAACATATCAAGATAACTAGATAGGAATTCATTACATTTCACCCAGAAAGATCTAAGCCCCAACAGAGCAAAGCAAAGTGTTCATCTTTAGAGCTGCAAGCTAAATTTTATGATATCTGAACCTATACGAAATCTGAAAAACATTCAGTGCAATAACCCCCTAAGAACACCTATTTCGAATCCTTCAGAGCGACATTCAGTGCAATAACCCCCTAAGAACACTTATTTTGAATCCTTCAGAAGGTTTTTTTTTTTGGCCATAAATCCTGATATAAACTATGGTATGGTTACCATCCAATTTTTAAGTCATTCTGATGACACCATAATGTCAAGTAACAAGAAAAACTGTGCAAAAATTCGTATATATTTAGTAGTATATACCATCATGTGTCGAATGATTTAGTTAAGTACAAAGTGGGAACATTTTCTTTTCTCTGTCCTGCCTCAAATAGATTTTAAATACATCTGTGTCAAATAGGTACCATTTTAAAGTACACTGAGAACTGATCCTCAACTTCCTTTTTGGCCAGACTCTTATGGGTTTGCTTGAGTGTTCAAGATGTTACCACATTAGATGCATCATTGCAACATCAACATATTCATGGGGGCAACCAGACAGATTTGTGGGCAAATGTGACCTTGATCGTAAAAGCAAAACATCTAGCAAAACAGCAGCACAAAGAATTAGGTGAAAGTTGTTTTTTGGGGGGGGGGGGCAGGGATTGCTCAAAATGACAGATTACTTCTCAACTTCTATAAAAAACAATGCAAAAATTGCAAGGGCCCTCTGATCTCAGTTCAGATCTAGTGCTCCCAGCTTGAACAGATACTGGCATAACTATCACTTATTGGCTTCTTGTATTTGGATGTTTTCATGGGCGGTTGAATCCCCTGTATTTAATTGCCAGTGTTCAACTGGCACAATAGAGAGAAGATACCTTTGTCAGTAAATAATCCATAATGATTAAAAGGGCCCTGATACACATCTTTATGAGACCACAATGTTTTCTTTAAAATAACATGTCCCACTGGCAACATAAATCATATACACATACCTGATAACTTTGCAGTCTTTACAAGTCAAGTGAAGCTGAAATATATCTCGACATTCAACATTTTCTATAAGCTGTAATGGAACCTGTGATTGAAAAGATTAGAAGACCTTATTCAAAAAGGCTGACACCCAATTCTCAATATTTATTATAAGGATTTACCAGACAATTCAGGACCTGAAACACTATATTACTCATAGCAACTATTGTCCCTTTCTACCTTCTTCCCATGTGAACAGGCACCATGTGCAAAACTGTGGGAAAGTGTTCTTGGAATGTCAGTGAAATTATGACAAGGTAATGAAATATTGGAGATCCAATGTCTTGTTATGTTTGGAGTGTTTGAGAGATGGAGCTGTAATCTCCACTCAGCTATGAAAATGCACTGCATAGTCATAGACTCTCTCTTAGCTTGCATTACTACAAAGAGTTGCTGTAAAGATAAAGTGGAGAGGAGAGGAACTATGTAGGCCACCTTGCAGTCACTAGAGGAAAGGCAGAATAGAGGAATGAATAAATAAAATAAACAGGGTCCCTTCTGTACTGACCCGAAATCCCCCATGCTCATTTTAATAAAATGCCATTTAGTTATCAGTGCACCACCCTAAATATGAATTTCCAGAGGCATAGCCAAGTTAGTCTTGCTTTAGAAAACCAAATGATCTTGTGACACCCTAAAGATATACACATACGTATTGGGGAAAATATAGCTTAAGCCTCTGCGGGCTAGGGTTCAGAATTCAGAAGAGACACATTTATCCTAACAGGTTAAATGGTGCATTATGTTTCTGACACTTTATCTGATCTTTCGACAAATTATTCAAATTTCATGCTTAACATAAAAGTTTTTTATAGGAACAGAGAGCTATGATGCTGACGGAGTCACACAAATCTCTTCCAACTTTTCTAGTTTTCTCATGGTGTTCCCTGCTGCACTCTATGGAATAGTCAAACTCCTTTTTTACTTTATTCTACAGCTGGCATTGTCTCCTAGGAAAAAGTTCGCTTTCCATAGGTATTGAATGAATCAGCAAGGAGAGGAGAGAGAGGATTCTGCCCTTAACAACCCTGCAACTGGCATCACGAATATCTCCGAATGCAGAATCGCTTCCCATGGCAGCCACTTGTAACCTTAACTAATGAGTAAAGCTTCATTCACTGACAGGCATGAGAAGGCAGAAGATACTCCCGCACCACACTCTGTAGCAGCCACAGTTAACACATGTACTGGAATATCATCGTGATGGCACATTGCAAGCTGTTACTTGTTTGGCACATCTGCTTCTTGGGTAACAGAAATGGAGAATCTAACAGAAGGAAGCAGATGGTCACTGGAAGAGCCAATGAAGCCAGCACTGCTTCCAGGTGCCACAGTACCTGGGCAGGGAAAGAGCAGGGTGTCATGTCAGCGGATAGGCTAGCATCCATTCTGCAGCAGACAGAAAAGAATGGTGGCGGTGGCGAAAGAGAAGGAATAAGAGGAAATGCAGGGGACGGTATGCTCTACAGATTAACAGCCTTCACACCAGGGAACAAAACAGAGTAAAAAAGAAAATTCCCAGTCAGATGTCAAGATAGTAAAGCAGGTGAACTTCCTTTCAATTCCTAGACTTCCCTGTGGCCTCGTTTTCCTTTGGAACCAGAAAAGCAGAACCATTTTACAGGGTTGTTCTTTACAGGCCTTCCTTCTTTCCTGCAGGTAGCAAGTGACTTCATTAGTTGTCATCCGACTGAGAAGATGGTTTGCTGATGAGCAATCAGCGGTCTTCTGATAGGAAGTCTTGCCTCACTAATCTCGTAAATGCTCCACGGCATCAACAAGCATGCACATACATGTGGCTTGAGAAGCGTTTAACGCTCAGGCTTCAAGAAATCTTTTGCAAAATCTTCAGCAAAATCAAACAAAAATGTGACTGCCCCAAGGATTTAAAATGCACGTTAAGCACCTTCTTGCATCTGTTTTTTCTTTGATTAAACCTTTTCCAAGACCTTATTTGTCCAGGTTAGAGTTCTCTACCATGCCTCTCATTCTAAAGAGTTTCTCCCCAACACTCTTAGTAGTTCAAACAGATGTTTCCAATTATCCCCATATTCTTTCCCTTCCTCGTTCCTACTCCCATTTGTTCAATGTCTCTCCCCACTTTCTAAACAATCCTTCCTCATTAAATTTAGCCACATCATTATCTAAGAAAAGTGGCATATTTATTATTTCCCAGGAAAAACAAATTATCACCATCTAGGGTTGCTCTGATTCAAATCAAACTGATAGATTTTATTTAAACAATTAAAATCAAGAAAATGATTTTTATTTAAATAATGATTTAAATCAACTTAATTTTTAAACTAATCAATGATTTTTATCTAGTCTGCCGCCATCCTTTATGCCTGTCTTTTCGTCAACTATCCTTTCCTATGCATCCCCAGGTACCTTGTCCTGACAAAATTCCATGCGTAAGAACTCCGCAAATCAAGCCACACCATGCAGTTAGCAGAGCTTCCAAAATTCAAACAGAAATCAGTTGAATATGATAGCAATACACTAATAAGGTAGTACTTGAGTAAAGCAACCACTTTGCTGCTATCAAGCATGCAAAGCTATTTAATCCTATAGTTTTACAAAAGGTAATCTCAAGGCATCTCAGTTGCTTTGATTAAACAAATGATTATGTTGTTCTGTTTGCTGTTGTTTTGACTTGTATACTGCCTCATAGTGCTTAAAGCACTCCTCTGGGTGCTTTACAATATAATTATGCAAACAACACTTTTCTGCAGATTCTAGTAGCCAGAAGTTTTCTGAATTTGCAATGCGTATTGCACCACACTGATACAGTATAATACTGTATAAATGGCTGACCACAAGTAAAGGAGTGAAATCTCAAAATATTAATTGAAGGAATGTCAGAAGAAGGGTTGACAGAACCAATAAAATTTTCAGATCTAACTCTGAGAAATTAAAAGTTACTAACTGTGTCTCTTGAGAGGTTTTTGGGCTGCATCTTCCATAATCCCTGGTGTGCTGGTTAACGCTTATAGGAGTGGTAGACCAACTATATACTTGAAGTTTTAATGTAATACAAACAAGAGCTACTTACAAGAAGTCTCAATTCAAAGATGGCTTTTGAAGCTACCTAAAAATGTTGCTCTCATAATTTCCTTAATGCCACTATCTGACATTTTTTCCTTTGCTAGCACAAAACCCAAGAGATCAGTTTAGGCATTCTGGTGTTGACGTGCACAGAACAAATGATCCCACGGATAGATGTGTCAACATTTTGGAGAAGTTATCATTCTGTAACTTTACTGCCTCACTTAGTGAGTTAGTGATAGCTACTTTTGCCACACGATCCACGAGCTTTATCCATCCAATCAAAAGCTTCATGCATTACAACTCCCAACTGTGTCGAATCATTAGCAATGACCAGTACAGGTTTCTTCTATACAAAGCAAAGGCGCACCAGTAAATGTTATGTACAGCAACACCATCTACTTACAGAGATCTCAAAAGCAGCAAACCTACAGACATTCTATTGAATTATAAACAAAGAACAAAATTAGGAGAAAATCAGAAGGCAAGATTGGGATGTCAGCACCATGTTTCATCCCACTATCCTCAGCTAATTTCCATATAAGACAGGAACAGGATGGAAGGGAGATAAAGGCTCGTACTGCTTTTCTAAGTCGCTGCAGGAAAAGTAAGTTTTTCCTGGACAAGATGCTCTGAAACAAGATCAAGAAGTTTCATACAGAGAAAAACGTCATCTTGTTTTAGAAGAAATCCATTCAAAGTTGCTATTAGGGCTTTAATATTCCTATAATCTGTAGCACAGAATTTAACCAGAATACTGTAATTTAGTCATTCTGGTTAAATTCTATGCTACAGATTCTGGGGAAATTAAAACTATAACCGGTATTTTGAATGGGTTCCTTGTAAAATATGTTTTCTCCATATGAAATTCAGAAATCTTGTTTCTGAACATCACATCACACGTTCAGTTAGCTTCACTGACAAACACACCGAAACAATGGAAACTAAAAGAAACTCAGAACTTTGCAAACTGCCATTGTATGACCTTCCAGTGAAAACTAAAGCAGTTTCTTCTTCTACCTTAGTAGTCTTTGCCATTTCAGTGTAAGCAATCGATTTTGCTTGCTTTGATAATGAACGAGCAGACTACCCTGAACTTTACTTGCGCAATTTCAGAAGCTGAGCAGAATTAGCTCCAAAGAGCACTGGAATGGGAAGCCACAAAAGGAACACCAAAGATTTCCAGGTAGGGAAGTTAAAAATACCGGAGTCCACCTGTCAGGGCTAAATCCTGGGCTGAATGAACTAACGTGGACCCTTCTTATGCTCCCTATGATCTATTTCCACTAGTGTAAAAAAAAAAAAAAAAACCAAGTTACAGATTGTTTTTAAAAATTCTACTTTCCTCTTAATAGCATAGCTTCCATATGATATACAGCCAGTAAGTAACAAAGCACAACTAACCCCAAGATATCAGGTGACGTCTTCAGCTGCAACCAAAAGGGGTGCTTTAACTTGCTCATGAACAAATACCACAGTAGCCACCAACGCAGACTTTATAGGAATAGATCAGAACAACAGTAACAATCTGCCAAAGGACTTCTAATCCTAATCAACTTCAAAAAACACACACCCACAACCTTCTATGTTAAAAAAAAAGCTTGTAAAAATTCAGTTTGTCAATCCATGAGCTGAAAAATGGACCTGACTCCAAATGATAATAGATGTCTAAAAATGATAACTCCAGAAGTGAACCTATGCATTTATAGCAGTGAAAGACTCATATATGATTATTTTATCTGTTCCCATTCACTCCTGGAAGCTGGTGAGAGCAAGAATTGTAATATTTGATTACCAAATAGACTAACAGGCTGGAGTGAATAAAGACCCACTGCTTTCCACCTGTAGCTACAGATAACAGGTCCAAAAGGCTGGTGAACTCAGGAAGAAAAGCTATTAGGGGAAGACGGGAATAAGGGAAAGTATAAGCAAGTTATTGAAAACTGATACAAGGAGATCAAGATAATTCTTAATTTCAACTCCCTGTTTGGGTTGTATTCTCTGCAACTAATACAGATGGCTTCTGTAAATCACAATATGAAGGAATGGAAAGCTGACATTTCCCACCTATAAGTTCCAATGAGATCAACTTGTCGGAACAGTCAAGGGAGGAACAAAAAGCTTACATTTACGATTGATTCTTTAAATTTGATGTGGAGTCTGTAGTTGGAAAGTGCAATGACAGCATCTTCTGCTCGGCCTACATACTCTGTGCTCTCACCATGAAGTTCTAGGAACGGGACCTACAGAGTGGGTGGAGAAACCCATGTTATTTACAAGTGGATGTCAACCTCTCCAGGTCAAGCATACACACCTCAAATGCAAGTACACATATCATGAAGAAACATGACAGGAACAAACCACAGAAAGCTTTGTGTAAATATGTCAACTGGAACAAAGCTCTTAGGCTACGTCAGAAAGGAAAGATGTACAAGAAAAGTCATGTGGTGGGAAGTTGCTGTGGCTGGAGGTTCCCACAGCAGCACTGTACTGATCTTACTGAAACGGCGTTAATATGGCAGGCAGCTACAACCTGCCTGTTTCTTTTGAGATCTTAATTGTGCAAGGGAAAAGAATAGCTTCCACCTTCCCCATCAAATGGGAGCAGATGCCAAAACAGGAGCTTGCCCAAAATGTCTGGAACTTTAACAGGAGGAGGAAGATGAGCTAGATTTGGAACTTTCCGTTTGGGATGACATCGGAATTTGACTGGAGCAGGGAATGAACAACTATGGATATTTTTTTTAAAAAATGCAACGTATGTTTCTGTGTTACATTTATAATCACAAGAAGAGTGACCACAAGCATATTCTATGTATTTCTGATCAATTACTTGCAACAAGTGAAAGGAAGAAAAGATAAGAGCCTCAAAAGCTGGGTGGGTTTGATTTAAATCAAGTCAATTCAAATCACTTTTTAAATCACTATATTTATTTAAAATCTGATTTAGATTAAATAAAAAGGATTTAAATTTTAAAAATCCATTTTACTTTTTTAGAGTTTTTTAAAAAAATAAAATGCTTACTAGTGATTTAAATCATGATTGAAACTGACTTGATTTAAATCAAACCCACCCTGTGCAAAAGTAAGAGACTAACCTAGAGAGTATTAATGCAGGAGAGTCTCAGAAGGCAACTTCGTCTTTTATCTAAACTGGTAGCCAAGCTTGTAAGAGCAGCAGCAACGTAAACCAGTTCAAAAACATTTAACTTCTGCTATCTAAACTTGACTAGAAAAACATAATTAGGTCTGCCCATGTGTCAGTGCTGCGCAGGCAAAGGATAGTCAGGTGACTACCTGGAGATTGTCATCCTCACGGATCAGCTGCTTCCTGGGGAAAATCTGATTAGCTTGGATGCATTCAAGGCTGTGCTGAGTTTCTTCATCCTGAGAAACAGATTATCCAGTTGATTTCAACAGAGCTACACACCCATACAGGATCTTTTCACGGACAAAGAAGTTTGAAAGATTCACTTCAAGGCATAAGGGACAATCTCAGTGATTATAAACTACTACAGTCTCAAATTCTCAGCTCTGCATGCCTATGCACACATGAATTTACCAACTGCTTCTCTGTCAAGGGGGTACAATTCCGGCAGGCTGCCTGCTGGTGCCCATGCAAAAGTGGAAGGCACAATATTAAAATGATTCCTTTTTTAAAAAAAAAATGAAAATGCATTTTTTTCATGTTCCCAAAATCATAACTGTAACAAAGATTAGAGTGGGAAAAGATCATGAAAGGAGCAAAGAATGGAGATCAGGACAACAACAGGGCCATATGGAAGAGTTCAGAATTCTAAGCCTCCAGTCCATCTCTCTTTTTCCACGCCGTAACACCAGATATGCATCTTTGGAAGCTATGAAGGCTGATGAATAGCAGAAGGGCATCTCTTCTTGCTCAAATGAAGTTAAAATGAGATATTCACCTGAAACACTATTTAAATTCTATTCATATTAAATACGTACAGAGTAAAATTCAAATGGAGAATGTGCCACAGATGCAATGTATGGACATCTCAAAACAGGAAATAGCTGGACCAAGATCCTGTTGCATCACAGTCTACTTCTTCTTCCAGAAACAGGAAGCAAAGGTCTGGTAGCACACAGAACACATCTTGTCCCTCCCCACATTGGAAGTGGGTGGGTGGTGAATGAAAGGTAGATAATAGCTTTTTTCTTCTTATTTGTGTAGCTTCCAGTGAGATATGCAAGGTACATGCCATGGTAAGTAACCTGAATACCCAGTTAAGTTGCTTCTTTTGAACATGTAGCTGTGTATGACGTATTGGCTGAAACCCTGTTATGCAAGTCTGTATACAAAACATGGAGCTGTGAAACTAGTTTGGAAAATCAAGGCATAGGGGAAATGCTATCTATCAAGCATTTCTGCCTGCATGCCACACAATTACTGCAACTGGGAGCCACACACCTGACTTTGCACTCAAATAGCAGAATCCTCATTGCCTGGATGTAACGCCCAGCACACTTACACTGGTGTAACTTTATATTATGCAAAGATGAACAGGATTTCAGCCAGTCAGTTATAAGTGGAGCCTTACAAATTTTCATCCAGGTCAAAAAGGAAACATAATCTCTGAGCATTATATATCTGATCTTAAAAATCTGCTGTAAGTATCCAAAGACTGGCACAATCCAGTATCATGATGCAATCTGATTTATCACTCTTGAAATAATCTGCATGCTTACCATGACAGAGCCGGGTTAAGAGGCAAGGTCCTCACCCTTATTTTCAATAGTCTGTAGCGCTGTATATCAATAAAACATCTGAAAGACAAGATTGTAAGGCGGACATACATGACACCACATTTACTATTTGCAAATTAGGTTGTTTGCATTAATTTTGACTCTGCCCAAAGTCTAAAGCATTGATGGAGGAAAACCAATGCAGATGGCAAAACGTGGGTTCACACATTAACTCAACTTGCTTTTTCAGAAAAAAGGCCTTGAGTTTACTCTGAGACTGGCTGGAGAGTGTTTTAAGCACATCTGTTGTTACAGATTAACAAAACATAAATAAATAAATAAACTGACTTCTACAGTTGCCTGGGCTACAAAATCCAGCCCATGTCAACCACTTCTCAACCATGTTGAGAAGGTTGGAAATAATGTACAATGTGATACAGAATCCTAATGTTCAAAGAATAAAAGCCAGACACAGACTTGACACTCATGGCTGCACGCAATTCACTGGCCATACCCATGGTCCCCTCTAAGGCACATGACTCTGCGCCCCACCCCACACCTCTGCACACCATTCCTCCTCCTCCACTCACAAACCACAACAGTTTCCAACCCCTTTGGTTCTGGTTGTGACAAAACTCCATGCGAAGGGCTGAGTTGTGCGGAGAGGTGGAGTTGGAAGCATGACTCCACCCAGCGGAGCTGAAAATGAGAAGGAACACTGGATATACCTGAAGCAGCTCTCTAGATTTTGACCAACAGGATTAATAGTTTAACAGTAACTCAGTGGTGTCGAACTGTGGCCCTCCAGATGTTCTTGGACTTCAACTCCCAGAAGCCTTCACCACCACCTCTGCTGGCCAGGATTTCTGGGAGTTGAAGGCCAAGAACATCTGGAGGGCCACAGTTCGACACCACTTTAACTCATTCTCTGCTCCCTTACTTAGATTTTTAAACACTTATGCATAAGTGTATCTCCAGCAATACATAACACCAAGGGATTCCATATACTGCCATTTTATATTGCCAAGGCAATTCTAAGGCTTCATGGTGACAGAGACACAATATTTCTCTGGCAAAGAACATCACCAAAACTCTTATAAAACTGGAACCACTTCAAATGTCTACTGCTATTCTTTACTGATATTTAAGGTTTACATCCCACCGGCAAAAGCCCGAATCCTGTTAGGAAAACAGTAATTGTGGAAGCAGCTTGTTCTTTGGATGGGCTATCCTCCATGACACTGATTTCACAACCAATCACACAACAGCTGGTACAACAAATGGAGGAAACCAACTGCAGAATTTTATTGTGCATGCAGCTCTTCCTAACAGGATTCTGAGCAGTTATCTAACAAGGTTTGCTGATGGATATTAACACTAATATGAAACTATAGAGCATACAAAGCTTTCAGTATGTCTTTTTAAGAAACTTATCTTCATCTGATGATACCATCTATTTTACTATATTTATATTCCACTCTTACAGCTACAATCCACAAAATTATAAATTCAGCATAAAATTACTTGGGGGGGGGATGAACATGACCTCTAAAGAGGCTGAGGCATCTATTAACTTACCAGATAGTAATAAAACGTCCCTTCCCATAAATTTCAGATGCTGTTCTGATAGTCCGCTATTTCACAAGGAAAGCTGAAAAAGCAAAATGTCATACTGTAATCGACATGTATCAATGGGTTACTTGGTATAACCCACTTTGTTTATATGATGAATTAACCCCAGTAAAACATTCATGTTTAAACAAACAAACAAATGTTTGTATAAAATTAGAACTACTGACTACCTTCATAGCAAAACTGAATTCCAACTTTTCTTTTCACCCATTGCGCTAACCCTGACCCTAAATGAATCTGGACACAATAGTGATCAAAAATTCTGAACTGGTTCTTACAACTCAAAAGACAAAGGTACAAGCAAAGACAAACCTTTCAAGGGACACAGCAACCCAGAAACATTTAAAGCTTGTAAGAGGGTACAACAACACAGAGGCTCTACTCTAGGATAATGCACTAAACTTTGAACTCCTGATTCTTTTAGCATTTTCCTGTGCTGGGAAGAGCCAGATGGAAACAGGCAATGTAGTATACAAATACATGTTGTGAATTTTGAGCTAGGATTCTCTGGAATCCTGGCTTACCAGGGCACACAAATGTCAGCAAATTTTTCCATTAACTGGGCCCTACATATGTACTTTTCAGAGGCTTATACCTGCATGATCCTTGTTGTTTTCTTTCCCCAGCACCCAGGAATGACTGCACAAGTGCATAACCAGCAATGACCATGGTGGTTATAGAAATCTAAGCACAATGTTACTGGATTTCTGTTTGGATGTTTAGAGTTTGGCTCTGGTGAACATGATGGTAGCAGGGTTCAACCACCAGGGGATAGCAAATGAAATCAAAATGCCAGGATAAACCCATGAAAAGGGTTCTGAAAGTCTTTATGGCAATAATTTCAACATCAGTGCAATTGATATGCTAATGCAAAATGCAGAGAAGCTAGCATCATCAGAATGGTTCTCAAAACATGGGAATCCTATTCTGATAAAATAAGGCGAAGAGACTAAGCATGGTCTAATAAGGAGATAGTCGAGAAGTTGGAGTCCTTTTAGCACAAGAGTAAAGACATTCCCCATTAACATATACACTTTCTTCCTTCGGCAGCCATTTACCTAGCCACATGTTACTCCATGAATTCCAGCTCCAATTCCACAGAAAAAATTAAAAACAATTGGGGAAAAAAACCCTGTTAAACTACCAGGAAACAGTTAATGAAGAGAATGGTTCGAACAGATCATTAAACTCACTGCTTCAGGGGGGGAAAAGATGTTATTGTATTAACTATTACTGGGAAATTCAATAGGAAGTACATAACACTACATACACAAACATTAAAAAAAACTACAGGCATTCTCCATTCTTTGGAATTCAAAGTGTGTACAGTGTGGAGACTGGTGCCTAGATAACACCACCCGGGCTTCCAAATCCAACTCACTCAAAATAGCTGCTTTTTAAACCCTGTGTCTCTCTGACCAAGCCGCCACCATTCCCTAACACAAAACCAACCAATGTCTGCTTATACACGACATCGACAACTATTCCAGCAATTCTTCTACAGCTACAGCCTCATGAACACTTACCTGACCAAAAAAAAAAGGCTTGCTGAAAAATACAAGGCTTCGTTGTACGTATACGTACACTGGACCGCATTCTAAGTCTGTCACAAGCCCTTAACAGTTATCTCAAGCGAACAGATAGAAGCATGTGATCATGACATATGCTGAAAAACTAAATGCTTCAAAGCAGTGTGTTGATAGCACTCTAAAAATATGTGCTAAAAGTTTCTTCCCTGTCAAATGTCTTTTTTCAGGCCTCCTGCCTGTTCAGATACACATTTAAAATGAACCACTAAGTACACAGACTCAAATAATGACATACTATACACTTCTCTTTGGTGCTTACACCCAGCAACATATACTTCAGATGAATGTGTCTTTGAAGATTCTAGACTGACAATACAGTTAAATTTCTCCACATGAATGCTCATATGCACAAAGCGGCCAGATTCTACAATCTATTGTAACATTTACTCTGTTCAAAGCAGTTTACAAATGTCTCAGATAGTGGAAGTTACTTAATGACAAACCAGCTGGCCTTAAAAATACCTCCTGCATTTCTTTTTCTTTTTTTATGGCTAACATTTGTTTGTTTGGCTGCTCTGTTTATTTATTATTTAAAATATTACTCAGTAGCTGGAATTGTGTTGCACAACTTTGCATGTATAAAGGCTGAAGAGATATTCAGCCATGGGTGTTAATCTTTAATTTATTTTCCTCTATTCCTGCCCACCTTCCAGGTTCCAACATTCTCTAGGGATCCCTTCCACCTGGAGAACCCTTCAGAAGCTTAGGGATGGCAAGGTATATATGTGGACGCTTTAACATTAAAAATCAGTACCAACACCAGCAATTACAGTGGGGTCTTGACTTAAGAACGGCTTGAGTTAAGAACATTTTGACTTAAGAACCGCTCTCATAGGAAAATACTGACTTGACTTAAGTACTTAGATTTGAGTTAAGAACTGAAAAAATCCCACGTGGGAGGCAGGGAAAGTGCAAAATGTGAACTTTCAGTTAACTGTTGGCCCGTGAAAAGGGTGCCTGTCTGCTTCCTCACTCCTCCCAGCGTTTAGAGAGTGGATTGGGAGTCTTCGGCCTGCCTGGTCCTGGACTGCCTGGACTGTATTTTCCCTGCCTTCCCTGAACCTTTCTTGACCTAAGAAAAAAAGAAACAAAATATCCCCCTCTAGTGGTCGAAGGCGGAATAGCAGCTTCCCATTACTTTCTATGGACGGAAAAGAGCAGATACGGATCAAATGGTTTTCAATGCATTCCTATGGGAAATGCAGATTTGACTTGAGAACTTTTTGACTTGAGAACCGCCTTCCAATACAGATTACGTTCTCAAGTCAAGACCCCACTGTATCAGATATTAGGCTTCTCAACCTCAACAGCCTTACAACCGTACAGTCCCATCAAGAGGATTCTAGCCAGCATCAGGAGGCAAGGTACAAACAACTTAAAACAATGCAAATAACAATTTTGAATAATTCTGATCAGATTAAAACATCAAAGCAGAATGCACTGTATACACTAAACCTTACTTATGATTGCTAAGCCTCAAACAGCCATGTTTTGACTTAGTTTCGAAACTAGACCAACTGGGCAACAACTGGACCTCCAGGGGGCAGAGAACCAGATATGGTCTTATTCCGTGTCCGCACAAAATATATTGCTCCCACTGGTGCCTCCTTAGAAGGTCTGAATGCTTGGACAGGTATGGTCACATATGCAAAGAGAGGGCCATTCCTTCAGCTATTGGGGACCTAGGTTATTCAGGGCTTTAAACGTCATCACCAGCACTTTGAACTGAGACTTAAGAATACTGGCACTCAGTACACTTCTTCTGAAACTGGTGGACTATTCTGTTATTGGAGTCAATGAGGTGCAACTCAACTCACACTCTGGCACATTAAGAAAAAATATTGATGTGAATACATGTTTTATATAATACCATGATTTAATTGCAGATCAGTTCAATCTTGATTTAATTGATTTAAACTACTGTATGCGTATTCTGGTTGTTGTGGGTTTTTCGGGCTCTTTGGCCGTATACTGAAGAGGAAAAACAAATTTCAGAACACGGCCAAAGAGCCAGAAAAACCCACAACAACCATTAGATCCCGGCCATGAAAGCCTTCGCAAATACATTATGCGTATTCTACCTACCATTTCTAACTTTTCAGACTGATTCCAAAGTTTCTTTAATTAGGATTACTGTATTATTAATGTTACATTCCTAGTAAAGCCTTTGGGGGGGGGTCACCTCTTTATTCAACAACAGTATAGTTCCCAACATCTGAAAAACACAGGTTATGGTTCTTATATTAAATGGGAAACTGCAACAATTCAACAGGTAGAATACAAACCAGATTCAATTCCAGGAATCACCAGTTAATTCCAGTAACAGACCTGGAAATACCTGAATCAAGCATTGGAGAGCCACTACCCATCAAGATAAACAATACTAGGCACAATTGACTGCTTTAGTGTGTTCACAACCTTAAAACTCAGGAAACATCACCTTTTAACCTCATCCCTTACTTGAAAACTATTTTGGTTCAACTTCTACAAAAATTACTTCTATGGCTTTTGTCTGCATTGTGAACATTTCCACTGTAGTGTATTTGTCCATTATCTGATTGCAGTCCAAGTGGTTTTCACTTGAATATTTTCCAGGATGGCACCAGTTTTTTGAAGAACGCTAGTTCCTGCTTGGCAGGCATTCATGTATGACATCACCTAGGAGTGAAATGGCTCATTTCCACTTCTAGATACATGATAATTGTTACTGCATGTTTTATCATGTTGAATTTCATTCAGGAGTAAGGATCTTCTGAAATGACACTTGAAGAAGATCAAGTTGATTTAATTTTTTAAAAACAGACTTCCTAAAATAAACAAGCATTAGAACCTGAAATGACTGTAGCAGCTACAATTTGTACAAGCTACTTACTAAAGACTGTGTTTGTGTCACTCCAAGCAAAGTTTACATTTAACAAACTGCATATTCTACAGATGTTTAAAAACAGACCGTCATTTATTTTTCCCAAGTTTTCCATGAACTGTTTCAAATACAATCTTAGGGACGTGGTGGCGCAGCGGGCTAATCCACAGAAGCCTGTGCTGCAAGGTCAGAAGACCAAGCAGTCGTAAGATCGAATCCACGCAACAAAGTGAGCGCCCGTCGCTTGTCCCAGCTCCCGCCAACCTAGCAGTTCGAAGCATGCAAAGGCAAGTAGATAAATAGGGACCACCTCGGTGGTCCTCGGTGGGAAGGTAACAGCGTTCCGTGTCTAAGTCGCACTGACCACGGAAGATTGTCTTCAGACAAAACGCTGGCTCTATGGCTTGGAAACGGGGATGAGCACCGCCCCCTAGAGTCGAACATGACTGGACAAAAATTGTCAAGGGGAACCTTTACCTTTACCTTATCAATGAGAAACATGTATCTTGTGTCGGCTACAGCTACAAGGATAAGACTGGGAGCTTTTAAATTGACTCAAATTCCCTGTTACATCTAATTCCTGAGAACTACTTCTTTTAAAAAAACTTGTTCACAAGCCAGGACTATAAAACAAGATTTGGAAGGATTGTGTTTACTTTAGAATTGAAAGTGAACCCAACTGATTCCCTCTTTGTGACAAGACACAAATGGGAACATTGTGAGCACCAGTTGTGCTGCTGATGCTTCTGTACCTGCAAATCAGACTTACATATGCACGTGGCAGGGATGGCTTTCTCAGCTGGAGTGGCAGGCTTCCCTATGGCGTAACTGCACTCACAAAACCCTTCTGCTTCTGTCTAGACGTGCCTCAAAAACCCCCAACACATGGGCCATTTGTGACACTTGTGTTGATAGTTGGCTGCATGGTGCTGCAGGCATTCAGCATTTTTCTATTGTGTATGTATAAATTCAGATATTGTACCAGTGAGGGAAGATATTCATAGCACATTTTGTTCTAGGAACCAAGGCTGGAATTTAACAGCTCTTCTACTACAGTAATTTATCAACAAATTAAAACTGAGCTTTCATTTGTAAGAAAAGCCATTAACTGCAGTGGTTCCCAGCCTTGGGACCCCAGATGTTCTTGGACTACAACTCCCAGAAAGTCCTGGCCAGCACAGCTAGTGGTGAAGGCATCTGGGAGTTTTAGTCCAAGAACATCTGGAGTTGGAAACCAGTGAACTAGCAAAACAAACATTTGATTGCACCTGTCAAACCATCCTAAGTAGTCATGTAGTTAAGTAGTTACGTCTTCTGTATCAACTACAGCAGTACCTCACTAGACGATGACCTCTTAAAATGACGAATCTGCATGACGATGAGGTTTTGCGATTGCTATAGCGATTTGCAAAACAGTGATTCCAATGGGGGATTTTCACTGGACGATGATTTGGTCCTTGCTTCGTGAACCGTTTGTTTGCAAGAAGACAATTTTTACAGCTGATTGACGGCTTCGCAAAATGGCTTCCCTGTGTTTTTGGGACCCATGCTTCGCAGGATAGCCATTTTAACAGCTGATTGGCGCCCGCAAAATGGCTTCCCTATGGATGATCTTCGCAGGACGACGATGTATTTTCCCCATTGGAAACACATTAAACGGGTTTCAATGCATTCCAATGGGGAAGCCGTTTTTGCATGACGATGATTTCGCTAAACAGTGATTTCTATGGAACAGATTATCATCGTCATACGGGGCACCACTGTACTGCACTTACATTTTAGATTGTTAAAGCCATTTTAAAAATACTTTTGTTATGCAAGATGTACTTCAGGGTCTGCTAAAAGAAACTGAATAAAATACCAAGATTCTAATCAGTTACTTCACCCCCTATTACTACAGGCTAAAGCTTGGTTTACAACAGACCAAACAACAAGACAATCACTCCCACAAACAAATTCTAGTTGAGAAATGGATCTTTGTCCTCAAAGACCAAATTGTAGATGAAAAATACACTATAAGTTCTATAGATGGGAAAGATACTGATGGGTCTGTTTCCCAGGGAGTTCTTGATGTTCTTAAATGAAAAAGAACAGGGAAGAACACCTGTCTT